AATGGTTGCGGACCGAACATCGCGGCAGTCTACTACCGATCGAGTACGGACGTAAACATCGAGCGCGGAATAATAAATTGCGAAGTGTGTGATATAAATAATCGATATAAATTGTACGGATTTTATAGTGTTTTAGTTTTGTTTAATAAATATTGATATAAATCGAACCCGAATTAATAAATCACGTTACATTGGTGTCAGGAGTGGAATTAATTAAATTAATTAAAAGTAAGATTAAATTAAGTGCTTGTGCTTGTGTATGCCTGTAACAAGATCTGCTGCCGCTAAAATGGAAGAAACGATGCTCGAGTTGCTCCAGCAAATCCAAAATGGCCAACAGGTGTTGCAACAAGAAATGAAAAGCAACCAAGAGAAGTTGGAAGAAAATTCTAGAAATTTTGAAGAAAATTCTAGAAATATTCAAGAGAAGTTCGAGAAGTTGGAAGAAAATTCTAGAAATTTTGAAGAGAAGTTCGAGAAAATGGAAGAAAATTCTAGAAATATTCAAGAGAAATTCGAGAAGATGGAGGAAATTCTAGAAAGATTATCGAAGAAGTCTCTACATCAATTGAAGAAAAAGTTGAAGATAGAATTACGGAAGTTTCCAAAACATTTAAAGCAACATTCGTTGAGATTGAGCACAAGTATGAAGAGCTGCGCGAGCAATTCTTGCGACTGACTACGGAAGAGCGTACTAGTAGTGCCCCAGATGAATTACTGATGGACCGTCTTCTTGAGGTGCCACAGTCTACTCATTACAAGAAGGTCGACCCAGACACAAATACAAGAGTAGAAGGCGACGTTCAGCAAGCCCGAGTAAAGCCACCTACTTTTGATGGTAAGATTCCTTGGACCACGTACGTTCGACAGTTTGAAGCAGCGGCTGCGGCAAATAAATGAACTCTTCAAGACAAAACTACAGCCCTGATTCTTGCTCTGAGAGGAGATGCTCTGGATGTGTTGCGGACCATCCCCGAGGATCAACAGAACTTCCAAAAAATAGTAGCGCGACTCGAAATGCGATATGGCGATAAACACCTTCAGCAAGTTTACTATGCCCAAGTCAAGAACCGAATGCAGAAACCTGGAGAAAGTTTGCAGGAACTTGAAGCGGACATCGCTAGACTGATTCGATTGGCAAACCCTACGGCACCGGAGAGCTTTCTTGATCAACTGGCTGTACAAACATTTATCGATGCCGTTCGTGATGGAGATGCCCAGCAGGCTTTGAGACTGGCTAGGCACGACAAAATAGAGAAAGCTTTGGCCCATGCGTTAGAATTCGAAGCCGCCAAGAAAGCTAGTCATGGAAGTGCGCGAGTACGTATGGTGGAACCTCGCAGTGAGAGCCGAGTAAGAACCATCGAAGAGGAAGGTGGCTCTGAAAGTTTTGAAGAAAAGGTCAGTAAAGTAGTAGAAGAAAAGGTCAGTAAAGTAGTGGAAGAGAAGGTCAATAAAGCAATACAGTCACTGGCAAAGAAACGTGAACGATTCTATTGGGTCAACCGTAAAGAAGATGTCCGGCGATGGTGTCAAAAATGTGAGTTATGTGCTACTGGAAACGGACCAGTTTCCAAGAAGAAGGCACCCATAAGGCAGTATAACGTTGGTAGTCCGATGGAACGAGTTGCTATCGATATCGCAGGACCGTTTCCCGAGACAGATGGCGGAAATAAATATATCCTAGTCGCTATGGATTATTTCACAAAGTGGACTGAAGCTTACGCCATTTCAAACCAAGAGGCAGCAACAGTTGCAGAAGTGTTGGTAAAGGAGTTCTTTACACGTTTTGGTGTTCCTATAGAAATCCATTCAGACCAAGGAAGGAACTTTGAATCGGCTTTGTTCCAAGATGTTTGTCGATTGGTAGGAGCCAATAAAACCAGAACAACACCTTTGCATCCTCAGTCAGATGGAATGGTAGAGAGAATGAATCGAACGATGGGTAAATATCTTTCAAAAGTCGTGGCAGAACATCAGAAAAATTGGGACCAGTACCTCCACCTGTTCCTTATGGCATATCGATCAGCCGTCAACGAGACCACGGGTCGGACTCCTGCCTGCCTTATGTTGGGTCGTGAGCTACGCCTTCCATGTGATCTCGAGTTTGGGCGTAAACCCCATGAAGAATATGTCGCAGGTGAAAATTATGTTGACCAACTAAAGGCGAAGATGAACGACATTCACGACTTGGCTAGAAGTCATATTCAGATTGCCAGCGATCGCATGAAAAATCAATACAACCTCCGCTCGGCCAATGAAACTTTTGAAGCTGGAGATCTGGTATGGCTGCACAATCCACAGAGACGAAGGGGTCTTTCTCCCAAGCTACAAAGACAATGGGAAGGTCCGTATGAGGTGATCAAGAAAATAATGACGTGATATATCGTATCAGAATGAACCACCGAAAACCGAAAGTTGTCCACATTAATCGACTCGCACGATATGCCGGATCCAACAACAACGAAGAAGTTAGAGGTATTCGAGAAGAGGAACGCAGCTTTGGGATCGAGCCAAACTTTAACGATTTTATGTCAAATTACGCCCAGCGGAAGAAAGCTCGATTTGGCGTTACTCAGGAAATTTGTCAAAATATTTTTGAGCTTCCGGTTAACGTTTCCATCGCCCATTGTGTCGCCGAAGACCTTCGCATGGGTAGAGATATAGCTTCCGTATTCCGGAAAAGATTTGGAAGAATAGACGAGTTGTTAAAGCAAAGACCACGAGTGGGTAAAGTACTGCGCTTGGAAGATAATCAACGCTCTTTGTTCTACTTGGTTTCAAAGAAAACGTCAGAAGGCAAACCCACCTATGAAAACCTCTGGTCTGCTTTAAAAAGCTTAAGGAAACTCATGGCATACTATGACATAAATAGCTTGGCGATCCCGAAGATTGGATGTGGTTTAGATGGGTTGGACTGGAAAATAGTGCGAACCATGATCGAAGTGATTTTTAGAAACACTAGCGTTCGAATTACAGTATGCTGCTTCAACCCACAGGGGACGACCCTCCGCAAAACTGTGGACTGTTACTTTTTCAAGAAAGGTGTTTGTCGAGCAGGCTCTGACTGCAGATTCCGACACGAGGCATTAAAAAGTAATACTAACGCAGTTTCTGAACGAGACGTCCAGAATTAAGAAGGGGGCAGTGTAACGGAAATGCTGCAGACATGACGTCGCCTTTGGCACTCTGGAATTTTCTACGCGTATTCGAGAATGTACTGGACTTACATTGCTTGCGTGTATAAATGGTTGCGGACCGAACATCGCGGCAGTCTACTATCGAACGAGATCGAGCGCGAACGACACATAGAGCGCGAAAAGCTGATATAAATTTCGAAGTGTGTGATATAAATAATCGATATAAATTGTACGGATTTTATAGTGTTTTAGTTTTGTTTAATAAATATTGATATAAATCGAACCCGAATTAATAAATCACGTTACAATAATAATAAATGACTTTAATAGACAATTTCTATACAGAGCCTGTCTAAATGGCGGAGTTCAGACAGGGATATCATCCGTGTCTGCTCTTCCACTCAACCTTAGATAAGTATAGGTAGCCTCCATTCATCGTCAGACGCCTTCTACATAGAATGCTGTTAAATGAAGTAGCAAAACTGGCAATTCAACCAAACATACCTTCGGTTTATACTCAATATTGGTGTTCTTTTATTGTTGAGATTGTACACTAAGAACTTTAGACAGCATCATAAGTAGGTAAGATTCGAACAATCCTGCTTACAACTTGATAAGACAAAAGTGAAAATGAAAAATTTATACTTCAAAATTGGATGCTATTGTTGAGGTAGAAATACACTTCAAACTGGCAAAAAAATACAGCAGATACTGACTGGCACCTTGTGTTTCCAAAAATGATGGGACAAAGAGTTTAATACAAAGATTCTCAGAATCTGGTGGAACTGTTAAAGCAAAAGCAATACAAGCAAATATGAGCTTCGGACGGCCCAGTCCTCAGTATTTTCATAATCCTATTGGAGAAAAAATTGATAAATTCATATTTTATCTCAATAATGAAACAGAAGTGTAGCAGCCTGTTAGCATTATTTTGAAAGACCATACTTTCAAAGTGTTTGATGGATGAATGTTAGGTATGTAGCAGGTCTGACTTGTAAAAAATTTATTAATTTCGGTGCTTACTGATCACACTTCACATTTATCTAGAGCAGGGGTCGGCAACTGGCGGCCCGCGGGCCACTTGTGGCCCGCACGCCGCGTCTTAGTGGCACGCGAAGTGTTTTAAATTTTACTAAATATATGGCCCGACTTTTACATTCGAATAATGTGAAAATGAACGGCAAAATTGCGACTTGCATTAGAACGGACTTGAAGTATTCCATCCTACAACGGCATTCAACGTTTCTTAATCTATCCCTTTTGCAAGTAGTAGCTTATTTTAATTTTTTTTGCTGTCGCTCCAACGCAAATTACTACATAAAACATAACTGTTTTGTACCAATTTAGGGCGCTAAAACTGTGAATTCGAATTCAAATTTTCCGAAATTTTCCGTGGGAGGACCCCCGGACCCCCCTCTCGTACCCCCCAAAGCCCCCGGCGGCCCCTCACACGGATCACAACTACACATTCGCCCACACTTACCAAATGGTTGCCGACCCCTGATCTAGAGGACTGATAACAATGAAAAGCAGTTAAAAAAACTTTATACAATTTGTAGGGCACCTCATTGAAATTTAAGTAGAACGTGGGACTTGAGATAAATGTCACAGATGAGTTAAATACTAATTTAGAGTGGTACAAATCAACAAATTGTTTCAAGCATACAGTAAATCGATACTGATATTTTTTCTTGTTTAAGCACTTTTTGGTGTAAATAAGTAAGAAGAATATATATGGACGCTTTTGCCATTTATATCCTATACCGCTGTAAAATTACTCATCTATGTCTATAATACAATCAAAGACTAGCCAGTTTGACTACAATCCTATCATATAAAATGGAGTTCATTAGTACTTACCGATGGTGGTGTTTAATTGACTTGATTCAAAAAGCGAAGAGTTAATACTCTGACGGATAGTAGAAAGTATTGATCTTCGAAACAGTTTTGACGGTTCTGATATTATGGGGGAATTCGTACAATCTGTAAATAAAGTGTAGGTAAATGAAAATCCTTTCTTTGTGATCCGCAATAATGAATAAGCAAATGTACTAATGCAACTTTTTACCCTTTTCAAAAGGCGTAGCGCCATTCTTATGCACACAAAAAAGCATCTATCAATGAAATTTAATTTGAGAAAAAAAATTTGACAACAAATTTTGAAATATTTATCTATAATTTAGCTGCTATGGTAACCATTACCTTGAGTAGTGCGAAGAATAGATAGCTTACGATGCTGCAACAGTGACCGACGCCAGGCCTTTCCTTCTTTTAGTAATACCGATTTTTTTAATGGTACGCAGGAGCTAAGTTCATTCACTTTATCTGTATCTTCTTTGATCAGACAATTTTCACTGTCTGTGCTTGCATATGTATCTTCTCCAACTTCATTTATTTCTTCGTCAGTCAGCAGGTTGCTCTCATCATCTGTCTTGACAAATGACTCCTCATGCCCTAAATCTTGTTTATCAATCACATAGTTCTCATTATCAAAAGATGTGAATTTGTTAATCTCTCTGACATCACTAATACTACAGTTTGACATATTGAAATCTTCAGATGCATGGGATACATCTGACTCGGCTGATGATTGTATACCTATTATTTCTGCAAATTATAAAATTTAAATTATCACTAGAAATCAAAATCTGATGTCTTTACCTTCATCGCTTATTGAAATTACATCACTGCTACAAATACTGTTTGCATTGTTACAGGAATAGTTCAAAACTTCATTGAAGTTCTGGCCGTTCTTGGAGACATTTGCATATTCTGTACTACAGTACGAGTGATCTAACTTCTCATAGTGTGTCAAAGGAATTTCGTTATCGTTATCAGAATCAGTCTTTTCATTAAAAACTACATTATCTACAGAAACTATGCTAATGTTTTGGTCATTACAGGCAGGGGTAATATTAGTTGCATTCGCCTGAACGGATTCAGTCTCAAAAATGGTTGGTTCATCACGTAATGAGATCTTCGAATTCTGAACCTTATCAGACCGGCTTCCATTCCAATCCATTGAAATATTTGCGCTATCACTCTCTACAAGATTAGGTTTTGAAAGGTCACAATTGGAACCTGATGTCGAGTTGAGGTAAAAGTTCAACTTCCTCACGTAATGTGCCTTCCTAATTTCGAATTCAGTAGCAGATAAACTCAGTTCGACAGTGTTTGTTAGGTTTGATGTCGCATCTAATGTGTGCCTACTTTTCTCATTTAAGCACCTCGTTTCTTCGCGCATTGAAAGTGCATGACAGTGTATACTTGGTAACGACTTACTGTAAATCGAACACAATTTTCTATTGTACATGGAGTCTCGTTCTTCCCCAGCTGAATTTAATAAGTCATCTTTGTCATCATCAGAGTTTATTGCAGGTGTATTTATGATTTGATTAATAATCTCCATCTCATGATGAGATGTATCACTTGATTCACTAATATTGTCGCCCCATTGCGAGATAGAAGTATTTTCTTTCTGTAAACAAAATGTGTGATATAGATATGAATTAGAACTCACAGCAGAAGTCATGTTTAAAAACAAAATGTTATAGTAGAATGCATAAATACAGAGTGGTGCCTAGCGCGACGCAGCATAGGGATTTCAATGGTAATTTCTTCATAGTCAATTACTAGCTCCCCTAATTATTTTAGAGTAAAAGTCTAAATACGTTTTTTTAGAGAAAAAAATACTGCATCTGTTCATACTATTACCAAAGAGTAACCATAATAAGAGATACAGCGCAATGGTATAAACGCGTGTAGGCTATTAAGAACTCGCCCGCTAGGATTTCAAAAGCGGGCCCTCGCGTAGAGGTGGCCATAACTAACCGCCTCTTTAAATATTGGCGCGTATTGAAAATTTACAGAATTCTTTATAGAATTTCGGTTTAAAATATTTGCGCGGTTGTCACATTTAATTTTCTTTCTTATTGGCTGTATAAAATGTGGACATGACATAATTAGAAAACATTACTTAAGTATAAAAGAAATCAGCAACTATTCAGTACCTATTGTTAATTACATTGGTATTTTCCTGTTTAGTTGGCGTCTATTGAATAGATAATTGCTATTTAATTTAATAACCAATAACAGGTACAATTGTAAAAATGTAAATTAAATTTGTTATTATCCATCCTTTTTAGATCGTCTCCTACAATCAAATTAAATAAGTAGACAACATATTTCATAAAATGCACTAGCGATTCTTTTACAGGAAATTTTGTTTGCTTTAATTTTGAATAGATGCCTACATACGCCGAGTTGTTTAATCATTAACAATCAATCATTGCAATGCAATAATCCTTATGTCCTCAGAAAAAAAAACATCAGTCTAATCCAATAATCAGCCAAAATATATAGTGCAGTTAAATAATAAATTAATAAATCTGCACCCGTCGAATAAATTTAATTAAATATTTACACGTTATTCTCATTTAAACAATTCAATTAAAAAAATACTCTCGACCCGCATTTTAAGCTGCAGCACTAGCGCGCATCGGTCTCCTAGCAACTAAGCGGCGTACACATGTTTTTCAATCACCATTGGCTAGTAGCGGAAAAAACACATCATAAGTATTTAAATTTGCCGCTCAACTTGAGCCACCGCGCACTCTGCTAGTGATTCATCCATCTAAACGATTGATAATGCAGTGTATGTTCTCATTTTTGAAAACTACATTGGCTTCCACTCCAAATATAGGGTTTCTGGAGCGTTTAAATATCTCCGGAATGCGTGGGTCGATCGGACTAAAATGTAATGAGATTAAAGGGGACATTAGTCACATCGACTGGTAAAAAATATGGTCCAAATCGGTCAAGTAGTTTTTCAGTTATCGCAAAGAAACCATTTTTAAAGAGGTGGGGTTGCGTCAGGGGTTGCGTCAGGGGTTGCGTTGGTCCACAGTTCACATTTTTAACTGATTTGAACCATTCGATCACAACTATAATCCAATTGAGGCAGTTTATTTTGGATTTATTATATTGTTTATAGTTTGGTCGGCAAAAATTAAAAAGTGATTGCAACATTTTTTCCGGGAATCTTTCATTATCTTATTATTTGTACAATAAATGCTATAAAACGTCTATTGGCCTTTTTTTTTTTAAAAACGTTCGTTTATTTCCGCGCAAGTCGGAAGTAAATATCGTTCGTTAGACGACTTCCTCTAACTAAACGATCTAGTTCGGTCGACTTTTCCATACGTCCGTCCACGGTAGGGCGACGAACAGTGTGTACAAAGGGCAGAGACGTAATCAAAGCGAGCTTATTACTCGCGCTTACTGGGAATACACAATACACACTAAAAAATCTATTATTTACCGCTCAAAAAACGGCTTATTGTTACACGAAGAACATATCTTCGCACCTATGAATCAAACCAACAAGCGTTCGGACCTTTATAAATTGTGCCATGAGCGTAGAATGGAATAATATATCTCTAAACATCATACATTTCAAGGAATAATAGATACCTAAATAAGTACGAGCAAACACTAAACATTTGGCAACGCTGGGATTTCTGCAATGATATTTATAAACTTCTAAACAAGTAGTTGCCTTGAAATAGCCCCTTAGGCGTAGCGTACGCCAATAAAATTGAGAAAAAGCAGTAAAATTTGTTAGGCAACACACAATACATATGCAACACTATTCTCTATGCCGTTGAATCTCTTATTATGGTTACTCTTTGCTATTACTCATAATTTTCCGTTTTTCACAACTGTAGAAATCGACAAAATAAAAAGGTACATTTTACAATAAATCAGATATGCCTTGGAATTACCTAAAGAACAGCGACAACGTTTCATTATTTGCCTTTAACGTATATTAAATTTATCTCGAAATTTATACTTGTTAAATTAGTGAATCATAAAATTGTTTATCATATGTATTTAACTTAAGAGAAAGAGGAAATTTTAAATTTGTTTTATGCCCACCAAGTAACGTCTTTATTTAGTGTGAAGTACCCCAATCGACCGATTCCAAGCACTACCACAGTAGACAGAATTATGTACAAGTTTGAAAGAACAGGCACAGTGTTAAATCACTACCAGTGCAATAACGTTCAAAATGTCCGTCGAAACCATCAGCAAAACGACAGTACATTCAACGTTTTGGCTGCAGTAGCGGAAAATCCGAATATAAGGTTAAGAACAATTCTTCCTCAAATCAATTTCTTTTCTTCGATTATGTACTCTGGTTCCGGAAGATGATAAATAAATAGTATCTGATGCAGATGCAGCATTTCATTCTCTAAAAAAAATTACCCCATAAACGCTTTTTCTTACGTTGGTTAGTTGAAACAGAATTAAATATCAAATCGTTCGAAGTCAAACAACGATGCGATACGCTTTCAGTTTGTTAAAAGATTCCAAAGCATCACTGATTTATAAAAATGTAATTCCTTATTTTTCCGATTTCTACGGTTTTGAAAAATGGAAAATTATAAGTAATTGTATGAACAGATGCAGTATTTTTTTCTCTAAAAAAACATATTTAGACTTTTACTCTAAAATAATTAGGGGAGCTAGTAATTGGCTATAAAGAATTTACCATTGAAATCCCTATGCTGCGTCGCTCTAGGCACCACCCGGTATAAGAAAATAAACAAAAATACAACGTTACCACCAAATTAATTACCTTTTATTAATTCAACTATAACGTTTCCATAATGAAGATATTCATCACACATACTACATCAACTTATTCCAATGTTTCGTTTTGGAGATTTGTTTTTTCCCGCTACAATCTTACCCGTGTAGCACTACAGACACCGCGCATCCTGACAGCACACGGCATGCTAGATTTCATAACTTTTTTAAGAATTGAATCACGAATTTCTCCATTTCGTTGTATATCAACCATATGCATGTTTTATATTGTCCTACAGTAAATTTATCGCTCTTTTCAAATATCATAAAAAACATAATCATGGCCTTTAAAAAACAAATGTTGCGGCGATTTCCGGTCAAACCGGAAGTGATGACCAAAGTTGCAATATGCGATGCGATGCAATCCGTAAAATGTACACAAACAAAGACAGTGTAGATAACCCAGAAGATGGAAACATACTTGTAAAAATTATAAATGAAACCAATTGTACCCCTTCCTTACTTTATATTAAGTAAAATGTCAATGTTGGTTAACCTATGGACCATTAATACTGTCACTTAGTGCTTATCGAGGTACTTATTTAACCAAATGGTTGTAAACCATCATCAGGTCAATTTTATCTGGACTGATCTACATCTTAAAGCTTACTTATTACTTTATTGGAATGTTTCAAAAACTGAACTCACCGTTGCATTCTGTTCATCGCTGCTACTTGCATGGTAATTCTCCATCAAACATGTTGAACTGTCAGTCGGCAATTTGGCAGGACTTTGATTATCAGTCGGAATTTCATGCTTCTCCACTAGTTTCCGCCTACGCCCTGTGATAGGCACAGCCCGTTTCCTAAGGTTAAGGAAACGTACAGGAGTGCAAGGTGAACAATTCGAGACACTCGGCGCAGACGATTCAGTGCCATTTTCCACTTGGCTTATCCAATTACTGACCGAGGTTGATTTACTGCTTCCGTTCGAGTCCTGCAAGAATGATTCAGTCGTCTCTGTGGATACCTGTACCAGACATTTCTTCGCAAGCGTGTTTAAAGAAATGGGCGTTAGAGTAACCTTAGTTTCTTGATTCAACTTTTTATCTCTTTCTTGAACGTCGCTTGAAAATACCTGTAATTGTTTGAGGGAGAACGTTTAAACTCGATTCTTTGTGTTAGATATATGGCAAACCAACTTGAATGAAAATGTATGCAGATACAGATTAGGCTCAACTTGCTCTCTACTTCAAAATCTATATTATGCCAATGGGCGCTCTTCACTTAGGGGCGAAAACTACCTCTTTTTGCCAAAGGTGAGTAAAATTTGGTTCAGATGAGTTGAGTAACGATTGTTAGATGCTTTGGAACATTATTTCAGAATATCTCAACCTTTAAAAATCAACCCCTATTGTGGTTTATTTAAAAGAAAAAAAAATTTCCCTCAAAAAATACTATTTCCGTTTTGTAACTTTTCAACCCTCTTATAACATTGTAACGTAGATCATCATGCTCCGATTTGTATTTTTAGAAACTATCAAAATAACGGATATTTAATACGTGTATATACAGTGTGTCCCAGATCGGGTGGGATTGCATGGGTAACTTTCTTATTATTAAAGATAGAGAATTGGTTAAATGGACAATGTTTTGCAGTTTTAGATACTTATTTAAATTTTCCTTGTGGAAATTCAAAATGTCGAATAGGTTCGACGTAAATTCAAAAAAACTAAAATTTATCATTTCCTTTAATGTCTTATATCTCCGGAAGTACAAGAGATATAAAAAAAAGTTTTATATAAAAGTTACTGACTTTAATGCACCTAATTTAGAAATGATGTCAAAAAAAGATTCAAGATGGCTACCTTTGAGAAACATTCGCCAACTTTCTAAAGTTAAATAGGCGCCATATTGGATTTTTAGATTATTTGATAGATTTTTTTAATTCTCTTTTCAACGAGCTATCATAGCATAAGATTGAAAATAAGATACCAGTTATATCAACGGTTTTTGTATTTCAATCAAGTAGGCTATGATGAATTAAAAAAAAACAAAACAAAATCTATTCGAGGCAACAAAATGATGAAAGTAATTACATCAGATGTTTAAAATATCAGGGGCGCACTCATGGGAGAGGGGTTTGGGCGTTACAACTCCCTCCAAAATTTTATATAAGTAGGCGTAGAAAAGTTTTGACTTTTACGACGTCACTTATTGACTATCATATTATCCATACTCATATACCTACAAAATGCTGGTATAACTACAAACTATCCCCTCGAAAAAATGCCATACCATTATCCAGTTAAACACATTTCAAGACACTTCGATAATCGATTTACTTTACACAATGTATTACCATTGATGCATTGTCCCAGGTCACATTATGTAGGTGGTTTATCCGTAAGAATATCGAAACTCACAGTTTTACCAGTTCGAGTATATGGACAGATGAATCTTATTTTTCTGTGGAGTGTTCAAATCGACATAATGAACACTACTCGTCACAGGAAAGCCTAGATGAGTTTCACGCCAAAATCATTTAAGATTTTTAATTAATGTATTATATGGCATAATGGGAAGTCATGTAATTAGACCGGTAATCTTCGATGGAACTTTAACTGCTCACCATTATTTACAAATTCTCCAATAAACTTCCTTAAAGGATTTTATAGACAACGTATGTTTCGCAGAAAGGGTGGGTTTATGGTACCTACCAACAATTGAGCTGGTTGTCCAGGTCACAATTCACGAATTGCGTACACTGTACATTAAAGAATAAAGTATATGGAAGTAGCTACTATACTAATAGGTAATAATAAAACAACTGCGCGAAGCCGTTCTAAAGGCGTGTTATAGTATCAACGGCAACACGCGAGGCAACACGTTGCCTAAAGTAAACTGTCTTGAAGTGTGTTTCACTAATAATGGCCAGATTTTAAACATGTGATGTAATTATTTTCATTGTTGTGTTGCCTCGAATAGATTTTGTTTTGTTTTTTTAAAATTTTCATAGCCTACTTGATTAAAATACAAAAACCGTTGATATAACTGGTATCTTATTTACAATCTTATGCTATGATAGCTCGTTGAAAAGAGAATTTAAAAATCTATCAAATAATCTAAAAATCCAATATGGCGCCTATTTAACTTTAGGAAGTTGGTGAGTGTCAAAGGTAGCCATTTTGAAATTTGGTTTTCATCAATTCTAATAGCGTTTTCGATTGGCAAAACTCGTACTGCACGAGTGTTGCACGAGAAACTGAAGAAATCCATGTGAAAATTGCTCTCAATGGAACATAAATATTCGTAAATATTTGTTGTCATTTGTCCATAACCTCATTTTAGATTTAGGTAATCGACAAATCTCTATTCTAAAAAATGACAAACGATTTCAGTACGAGTTTCAGTATTATTTATGATAAACGATGAGGAATATAAATTTGAAATTCCTGTAAAGGACCAATTTTTGACGTTCAGTTTAGTGAGTAAGTGCAACTTTTTGTAAAATAGAAGTTATGGCTTGTTCATCATCTTCGCCGAGGGGTAAACCGCTGCTTGAAGTAGGTGTACAAGCAATTTGAAGTACGCTGAAGTACAATGAAGTACGATGAATTACGTAGAAGTACGCTGAAGTACAATGAATTACGTGGAAGTACGCTGAAGTACGTTGAATTCCACTGACGTACAATGAATTACTTTGAAGTACGGCGAATTTCACAGAAGTACGCTGAAATACATTTCTATTCCAATTTAATGCAATAAATAAAATGTTTTACGAAAATCGATCTTTGTCTAGTGCAAGGTGAAATAAAGGAACCTAAAACATATATTTTTTTAATACAATTACGTTGGTCATTTTTTTAACTCCAATGTAAAAAATTGCATCATACTACAATGATCTTTGATCGAGAGTAGCACCGTTAAGTTTTAAGTTAAGAACATATAGGATTATCTTTTCGCAGTTCTATTTTAAAGACCACTTTGTTAGAATAAGACTTTACGATTTTTCAACTTGCCCGTTGCTTCATTTCGGCTTTTAGGATAATCCCTTATTTGGCAAATTTAAGACTTGTCATTTAGATTACGTGTCACTAAGAGACCTTTTTGAATAGTGTTGTTTTTATAAGAAATAATTTTGTGTCGACCTCGGTGTCGGGCTTGGCGAGACTTAATAAAGAAAGATAAAATATTAACATTGAAAAAAAATTTTATTTCGACAAATTGCTACATTTGCATTGAAATAAACGCTCATGCATTAGTGAAAATTATTTCAAATAGAATAACTACTATCCGTGGTTCTGAAAATGACGAATGTATTCAGTTTGATTTACACTTCCCTTATATGTCTAGCCAACCGTGTGAAAAATTATTTCGAATGGCGAGATCTATGACATCAACTTTTTCAACAATAATAAATTTTAGCTTACTAAACTTTGTGAACAAAATTAATAGAATACGTACAGTAAACAACATTGTGACTGAGGTTGGAGGAGAGTTCGTATTTCCACGTGACAAAAAAAGGCATCTCTTAGAACGGAAAAAATGATTCTAAACGAAGATCTTGAAAAAATTAATATAAATCATATAGTAGAAAAGGCTCTTGATGATGTAATTATTAATTTAAAGGAAATCGAAATTAATGTAAATAAAAGTGTATGTCTTTCAGTCGATATTGCTCATTCGAATGATAATTGGGACGATATTCATAAAAACGACAAGGAAAGTTGCGATATCGGTTCCGATGTTGAGATTGATGACAATATCTCCAGTATTGCCGACATTGCTGCAAATATCGATACAGTTGGCAGTAATGTAATGCCTAGTGAGGACGAGGGCGCTGAGAATTCGTCGACAACAAAATCTTTAGAGGGATCAGAATTGAAAGATTATTCAGATCACGTCTTCAATCCTTCTGATGATTCAATTTACGTGACTCTGAACTACCCTAATAAAGCGATCGTTGTTAAAAAATCTTCTTTGTGTTGGTTACTGGATAATTCTGGTGGGAAAGTCAGTGTTGATCGTCTAAACCGATTTATTAGCAACAGTAGAGCAGGTAGCGGCGAAGGTAGAAGTAAAGTAGTAAAACGGAAAACCAGCATAAGTCCGGCTCTGAAAACTGTTAAGAAAATTAAAAAAGGTGTTATTCTGTCAAGCAGCGACGAAGCAATTGACTCGGACTTGGATAACGGAGAATACGATGACTCTGACCTCGACTGTGACGATAATGACCAAGATAGAGACAACGTAAAAATTGCAATGGAAGGCTATTATGCAGTATCATACGACCATCGATGGTACATAGGGAGAGTAATTGCTCAAGAAGACAATCATCTCTATAAAGTAAAATTTTTGAAGGCTGAACTCGATCACTTTATATGGCCTAGGACAGAAGACAGTGACATAGTGCATGAACAGTATTTTTTTATGGTCCCATAATGTTAATCGGTACTGGGCCATTTGAACTGAAAAAAAGTGACGCTTTAAATATAAAGACAAAATATAAGACATTTAAAAAAACTTAATGTAATTACTACTGTTTTTGTCGTTTTATATATATATTTTATACATTTAAAATAAAGGTTGTATACTTTTATACACATTATTACTCGCATTATTATGTAATATACATACATATTAAAACGGCTAACTTTTTTTTAAAAGAAATAATGAAATACACAACAAATATCTTGTGGGCGTGCACCTTGTCAGCACGTAGCACTTTTCTTTATTGGTACCAACCTCCAACCCCCTGTTACCAAGATATTCGCAGTTAATAATCTAGGGTTGTAATAAATAACTGACTTGGTTCTTTTTTTTGGGACCACATTGGTAGACGCTTAAATTAGTGTCTTAAAAAACGAATTCTAAGAAAAAGATAGAACGCAATTGAACCACCAGATTTCTGCCCATTTTCACAAACAATGATTAAGCATAGAAGAATAGAAATATTAGAAAGTTGTCACCCTTAAACATAGTATATTTTTTAACATTCAAATATTTTTACTTATTGGTTGAACCGTTGAGTGATAAATAGTAAGAGGCGCAATTATATGTAAAATTGCGTTCCAGGTTCCAGCTCGCATACAAATTTCAACAAATGAATATGACTTGCACCCATGTTGAGGGAGGGTGGTAATCGTGTGATTCTTATGCGTGACGTTTAAGCATAAGAATCACACGTTTACCACCCTCCCACAACATGGGTGCAAGTCAAATTAATTTACTGAAATTTGTATGCGAGCTGGAACCTGACTCGCAATTTTACATATAGTTGCGCCTCTTACTATTTATCACTCAACGGTTAAAACATAATGGGATTTTGTAAAAGCGAATATATAAAATCATGTAACAAAGTAACATTCGTACTTGATTTGGAAAAAAACGAGGGAATCAAGTACTCGTATAATAACGAGTATATAGACGTATGCTGCGTAAAAACATAGTATATGTCTGTTTACGAGAATATACCAAATTTGGAACAATTAAAATGTACTAACATAGTTATAAGTAGGTTAAATTGCACGAAAACAACTTGAAGTACGCTGAATTACGTGTGAATTACATTGAAGTACGGTGACTTACTTTGAAGTACGGTGAATTACTTTGAAGTACGGTGAATTACTCTGAAGTACGGCGAATTCCGGAAGTACGGGATGCTCGACGGGATGTAAGCTGAAGTAAGTGTACAAATTATTACCAGCGGTTTACCCCTCGATCTTCGCTATCGCTAGATGACGACAAAAAACTCTCCCAACGCAAGAAACAAATTCAAATTGTCGCACGTTTGTTTTGAAAATTTGTTAACTAGCAGCTCCACAAGCTCTCTGACCTCGTGCGTCGAAATTTGCACTGAGTGCGTAATTATTGCATCACATTTGCCAATGGAACACAGAAAAATGCCCTAAAAATACCAATAGAACGTAAAAATTGCACTCGTGCAGCACAAGTTTTGCCAATCGAAAACGCTATAAATTAAGCGTATCAAAGACAGTAACTTTTATATAAAACTTTTTTTATATCTCTTATACTTTCAATGATATAAGACATTAAAGGAAATGTCCAATTTTAGTTTTTTTTTATTTACGTCGAACCTATTCGACATTTTGAATTTCCACAAGGAAATTTTAAATAAGCATCTAACACTGCAAAACATTGTCCATTTAACCAATTCTCTATCTTTAATAATAAGCAAGTTACCCATGCAATCCCACCCGATCTGGGACACACTGTATATCAGCGTTATAGAATCCCTTCCAAATTAAGATGCAAATAAAATGAAGATTTCGACTAGGCCAAACTGATATTAAAAAGAAATCATACTTTTTGGGGTTCGTTCAGTTAACAGGAGTCTCTCTGTTTCAATTGGAAAGGTCCGACTTCAATTCTATTCACTAATACAAAAGAAAATCAAAAAGGGCAAAGAATTTTTTTAAGTTTAAATTTAATACGACTGTTATTTTTAATTGGGTTTATATTTAAAGAATGTTGCATATTAATGATCCAATCAACAACTACACAAATACATTTTCAGTAATGCACAATTTGTATTCAAGCACCCCTCGAAGCACACAAAATAAATGTAAAGGTAGATGAGGAAATATTTGACAAAATCTGGTAAGAGGTTTACTCCTTATCACCAGAATTCTAGTGTGCTGGATGTTGGTTACCAGACAAAGGCGATTGCTTCTGGCAGCAGGAGACGAGGCAGGAGATATCTATATTTATGTATTTAAGCAAGTGATTGTGAACCATCAACAAATCAAGTTGGCGCAATCTTACAATTTTCATTTGCTTGAATAGCAACTTAGGCCTACCATACACGTGGAGGTATACCGCAAAGGTTTACCTATACTGTCCGCCTATATACTATACCTCGTACTATACGTTCAACATACAGCACAGGTAGACAGCGGCTTGTGTGAGCTCCTCGCCTCTACTGTTCATCCCTGGGGTGTACCTCTGAGATACATCTCTACATGTATGGGAAGCCTTACAGAACCTAGACAAAGAAATTTAGTTTACTTACTGTGCCATTTTGCTCATTGCAGCTATTCGCATCACAGTTCTTTAACTGGCTTCTTGAAACCGTATCATTTAACAATTTGGGAGCAGTTTCATTATTCATCATCACTTCGCGTTTTTCTACCAGTTTCGGTCTACGCCCTGTGATTGGCACAGCCCTTTTCCTAAGATTAAGGACACGTACGGGAGTGCGAGGTGAAGAATTCCCTGCAGGCAATTCACTGTCATTTCTTCCTTTGCTCAATGGATTACTGATTGAAGCTGATGAAGATTTTGTGCTTTCATTTAAGTTTTGTAAGTAAGATTCCTCCGTTTTTGAGGGTAACTGTACCGAATCCGTTATTCCAAGAGTGTTTAAAAACAAAGGTGTTAAAGCAACTTTCGGTTCTTGGTTCAACTTTTCATCTGTTTCTCGAATGTGTTTTGAAAGTTCTTTTAATTGTCCATAGGCTAAAGGAATTTTGCGATAATGTTTAACCCGATTCTTTACCTTAGATATATGACGCCACTGTTGTCGTTTTGGTGTACTTGAACGCGAACTAGACAACAATGAGACAGTTTGAAACTCTGAGGGAGGTTCAAAATTCCACGTGTGAATCAATTCGTATGATTTATCAACAATCGATTTATGCCTAGACTTACACGCAGCTATAGGCGATATAGCTTCGCCTACAATTGTTATTTTTTTTGGGGAACAATAAGCTGCAGGTGTGCTGGCAATAATATATCGATTTTGTACTTCTTCAAACTTCTTATCGTAGGATTTTTCTATTGAGCAATTATCGACCACACCATCTCGTAGTACATTCGAGTTACTCTGTGAAGAGAAACTACTGAGAGTAAACTCATCTACTTTCTTTTTACACTCCCTTTCAATAATTAAGCTATTTGTAACCGATTTATCCAAACTGCTTTCGTATTTGCCCTGCATCTTACTCGCATTCTGGCTACCATCTTTCAGTGAAACTTGCCCACTTTTCAACATTTTATCAAAAGTGTCATCGAAAGGACAGCTCCTAACTACTGAATCTTCTATCAAATGATGAAATCTATCTTTTGCTGGTAATTCCTTTATTTGTATTTTTTTGGATTTGCGTTTTATGTTTCTAGTAGTCGTAATGAAGGATATTTCTCGTTTTTGCAAATTCACAGCGAATAGAGCGTTTATGGCATCACATGAGTCTCTTCTCTTGAACACATTCGAGGGTTTTCTGGAATAAGTTTTTCTTATTGAAACTGGAGGCATTGGTACACACGACCAATGGTCACTTCACAAAAAAATACTCCAAAAATATGGTCTTGGCAATTAAAGCAAACTGTCAAAATATGTCTCCAAAAATCCCACAAATTTAAAGCCGGCGAAGACATGTAAACAAACAAACCCCTAAAATTTAAATAAATGCTTTAAAAGCAATGTTGCCATACTGATATTATACATACCTAAAACCACAGAATAAGACCTTATTCTGAAAATAAAACTGCTTGCAATACTACAGTTTTTTTTAAAATAAATATTGGTTATAAACAAAGCTAATATCCTACACGTTATCAGGCATAAATTCTCCGAAAAATAAGGAGAGAGAATTGTACCTTTGTAAAGCGGCTTTAGCAACGGTAATTGACGATAAGATTTTTGAATATCCAATAACCTCCTCTCGCAATTTGGCGCATGCGTTAAATGAATAAACAAAGATTATATACAATTTGACACTTGACAGTAAATAAACAAAGTAATCTTTAGGTAATTTATTTAATTAGATAATTTATAATAAATCATTACAATAAATTAGTTGCGTACATGATTCAAAATCATTCCAAAGAAAGTTTATATTTTAATTACGTAAATAATGTCTTTTCCTGGTTCGGGGGCGCATTCAACCGTTTTATTCATTCCATACTTGCAGCTTGTTGCCCACTGATGCCAGGTTTGGTTTCCCTATTTTCGACCGAAGAGTTCAGTTTTGGCACTTTAGTTCCGGTTCGGTGCATTACAAACTTTTCTTTCTTACTACCGTAATGATGAATTGTTTTAAATTAGAAAATAATAGAGAAGAAACTCTCAAATGATCCATATTTAATCAAATTTAAATTTACTTCTCAGGTAATACCTACATAGTTGTAAGAAGATAAACTATATGATGTATACTGTGTTTTTGTCACTTATTAAACACCTGCTCATTGGTTTTTTTATTAATTTTTAACGTTCTATTAATTTAAAGGTATCTAAATTTAAAGTTCTGCAATAGATTAGCCAATCAAGCGTATGGCCAAAATTTTCTCATTTTTCTTCATTAGGTATGTTTTCTAAACTCAACACCATACATATTTAAGGTAGTAAGAAAGAGAAAAAAATAATTCTAATGAAGTATCACATGACCTATATTGCCATTTAAAAAAATTTAAGATGGCGGTCGCACTCAAAAACCATGCGTCAAAAAGTTTTTTTAACCTCAAAATACCTACTTTGTGAAATAATTTCAAAAGGAAGCGTAGTTTTCCTGCTCAAACGGTTTCGTTTCGAGCATGAGAGGTAAGAGGTTTGGTTCTCTTCTTTGGATCTTTAATAGCGACCCTGTAGATTAGTATTGTAACGTAAATTTAATGACGTGATTTCTGTATATAAAATTCATTATTAATGATCATAGGACTATCAACGATAAACAAATTTATAACGGTCCTTAAATAGATTGTTTTATAACACATTCCATTTTTATCACTAATAACACGAGCGAGTACCTATTTCGTTATTTATCACTTCGACATCGATGTTAAGACTGAGATTAAATGCAATTCAAATTTCGAATATCGTACCTCATAGAAACAATGAGTCACATTCGCTGACCGGCGTTGACTAATCCGTTATGAACTTTATGGCGCCCAGGCCCCACGTAGACCCTCTCCCCTCGACAGCACAAGTTCACCGGTTTTCTGTATTCCGCACATATCTGGCAACCTTACTTAGTGCCCCTATTTTTTTAGCATTTACCATATAAATGTCCCTTTAGCTGACTTTCTTTTCAACTGCCACTTTTTCGGGCTGGTACCTACGTAAGCCACCGGACATACGCTAGAGACATTAAGTAGTTTGTATGTATGTACTTTTTGCTTGTGCTTGAAAAGGTCCACGTTGCTTATCTAATTTTAGTTGGCCCTTGACTTGTTGCGACTGGATATTACCTATCTGGATGCAAATGTTTGAGAACTGTAATCATTTTTTGGAATGGCGGCAGGGGAAACCAGTCATCCCACAGACGTGGTGACCATTACCCGACCAACGTTAATTATTATTAATTAAAATTAGACCGCAGGAAATCATGCGTCTGACTAACCTCAATTATGCGTAATTGTAATTTGGAATTAAAAGTTTGCCCAAATATGGGAGCTGCTAAGATAAAGTATATTAAAATTTGCTGAAATGATTAATTATTTCCTTTTGCTTGCCTTTGAGGTGCTGGTTTCCGGTAGTTGTAAAAAGTTTACTGCAGCTGTAAGTTGGACCGGAATTGCACCTTAAACTTCTGCAAATTGCACGCCATTTCTACCACCAGTTCGCGTTTCCGTAGCCAATCGGTCTCGAGTACCGCCAGTTTATCTGTGCGTTCCTAGTAGACCGAAAGTGAAGGGCTCACACGACGAAAGAGGTATTTTAGCGCATCCCATTTCACACTTACCGGGTAACATAAAACGGCATACAAAGCCAATAAAATCTGTCCCAAAAGTTGGAGAATCGGTGATGTCGTGGACAGTTCGAGCCGACGCCGTCGGGGTCTAAACCTTCACCAAAATCAGGCATTTCCAAAGAAGAGGTACATCTCTGTACGCAGGCAGAACCTGAACGACGACGGCGCCAGAAAAACCCTGCTAAAGATCGGCTGTACCATAGTACCATACATAAACCTCTCGCCAGGAAAAATTGCCGGTCATAGAACACTTGATCCCGGTCTACAATCTATGTTTTTCTAAAGATGTGAGCGACTTCCGGGATAGTATCGTGTCAATGTTGAACAAAAAGACTTTTCGTTCAACATTGGCACGATCCTATTCCTGAAGTCGCTCGCATCTTTAGAAAAACATAGATCGTAAATCCACACAAGGTGTGCTGTGACCGGCAATCTTTCCTGGCGAGAGTTATACCCTGGTTTCAAGCGGGTAACAGTCCAGATTCGATTCAAGAATGACGAATTTAAGCTGCACCACGCCAAATCAGTCGGAGCATCGCCTTCGCTATTGACGTAAACTAGGCACTCATACAAACGGCTCAATAAATGAATTCGTAGTCTAGTAAATGCCAAATGTAAAATAACTTATAATCACAATAAACCCCGAACATATTATTCTAATTAGGAAGGAGTTGTTAAGTTGTTACCACTAATGAATTTGGATGAATTCGAAAAATAAAACATACCTACAGAACAAGTTCAATTTCTACCGCGCTTGAAGAAACACCCGATGTAATCAAAGAGGTGCGTCCCTTTTTGATTTTGAATAACCTCATTATTGTCAATGAGGGAAACGCTCCCTCTTTTCAGAATGCAAAATTGGGGGAAGTCATTATAGTATCACAGTAACAACTCTGAATATAACTCAATGGTGGAAGAGCTCAGTTAAGTTGATTGTTGCGGCTGGTGAGAAAGATATGTACCGACAATTACAATTATAATTAATTATAATTTGAATGTGATCTAGAAACAACCACATTATGGGGATTTACGATAATTCAACTGTTTTAACCGGGTTGGTAGAAATCACCATAGAAGATTTTTCCCTGTCTTTAATAACAAATTTATTCATCAGTCATTTTTCATTATTCTGTTAAACATTTTTCGTAATAATAATGTTTTAATTATTATTTTCATAATCGATGATCCAGTCGACATTTGATATGGAATTTTAATATATACGTCTTTCGCTATAGAAACCGTTGCACGTCATTGATTTGTGTATCAATTTTAGACATATGCTGCAACACTGCAACATGTACAAAAAAAAACAAGTGTGCGAAATCTATAGAAAACTTGTCTGAAATTGATTCATAAATCAATGACGTGCACCGGTTTTTATAGCGAAAGCCGTATACCTACATATCTTAAACAAGGAAAAGTAGCTAAATCAGCAGATTATGCATGATTAAAATTTGCCATTTTATCGATCTCACGAGTAGGTAATCTAACTCAAAATAGATTAGAGCTTGCACATTTACACTGCAGCAGAAGACTTGTAGTGAAGTTTGAAGTCTCTAGCTGTTGTAATTGCTGAGATCTCAGTCAGACAGCCAGACACAAGGAATATACATAATAACGTATCTTTTTTCTAAAAATGCGCTAAAAACAGTGATCGCAATAGCCACCTAGCTCAAGCACGAAAGCTAAAAACTATTAATTGGGGGGAAAGGCAGTTCCTTCAGTATCGCATTAGGTATTTTACCATCTTTTACGACAAGTCATCAGGGGGTACAGGTCTACGCCAACTAAGATTTTGTATTGATCATACGTAGGTATAAAACTCGTCTCGATACAAAATTAATGCGTTGTCATGAAAAAGGCTAAGGTCGATACGTTTTCGTGTATATGAAATATTACTACTGGCTTGCACGATCTAAACACACAAAATAGTTCCATGGATTGTCGTTTTAGTTACAATGAATCATTAATAACCCTTTTTATTGCATGAGACTTCAATCAATTCCCTTTAAGGTTGGGGGCGCAAGTCTAGAAACTAGCACCAATTTACACGAACTTTGTAGATCGATGTTTTTCCCGTAGTAGTGATATTAATACTCATACAGAACGCACGTCAATGTAACTTGTAAATATGCCGCACTTTTGGGAGAACTTTGGAAAAAGCTCCCATTCCACGCACCGAAATTTGCAAGACGGTTTATTTCAAATTGCTTCACAAACTTGTAGCCTATTAGTGCAAGTGAATAACACAAATAATATTAGTTATGGAAATCATTCCACGAACATTCACTGTAACACCATGGATCAACAAGCACAGCCGTCGTGTAGCACAAACTCAACACGTGACAAACATGAACAACTGTTAGTGCTTTTACCTCCAACAAATGGCCGAAATCCAAAGTATAGGCCAGGAGCATTGGGAAAACCTAGATTGTCTGTAAGTTTTCCTTATCATAAAGTTGTAACTTAATTTATTTTGCTAGCCGCATAGTGTTCCAAATGTCCAATCTAAAGAGACAAGAGAATTCGTTGCGGGCTGTCTCTGTACCTATACCCACTAAAATGAGCAAATAAAGAGTTGTGTGCCACCTTGACTCACATTTTGCTGCAGGATCTATTAATAGATACTTGCAGTGCATGTGCCATTTGGTGTAATTATTGCTCATTTGCATTTTGTGGGTTTAGTCACCTAATTATCAATTTTGGTGGAGAACTGCTTAAAACAATTGTTCAACATGTCCCTCTGTTTGTAGATACCTATAAAAATCTTGAAACTACGTTAGTACTTTACATACAAAGTTAATGATGGTTTCTCTTCTTCTTCTTTAACACATTCTTTACAGTGTATATTTGCTAAATGAAATAATAACACATGCACTTCGTGAATCGGATGTTGTGCTAGCCCACCAAACAAGCTCAAAGAGCGGCCATGAACCTTGGGGAAAGTGTTTGACATTATAGAAGGTTATCTCAACTCGGCTGGTATTACATGGGCAATTTTGTTAGTATTCAAGGTAGATTGATTTAATGACATGCTAGATGCTACCATATGAACCGGAAGCAAATGTTCCTCAAAGATATTCTTGTTAAATAGGACAAGGGGGACTCTTGACGGTGCGTGGGGGGAGGCTAGAAGGTCACGTCTTTAGGCAAATTATACAAAAAATTGTTCATAATGGCAGTTGTGGGTTTGCAAGTGACTTACCTATTCCAATTCATGGTAAAAAATAGTACACAAAATGAGTTTCTTTATGTGGATTGGGTAAACACTAAACATTGATGAACATGTTAGGTGACATTTTCTTATAATTCGCAAAGAAAAACCCTCTCTCCACTTCAATCATGCACCTACCTTCGTGTACCGTACAGTGCCATCGAACATTCAGAAAGATTAATCGAAGTCGCCCGGGATGTCGATCGAAAGCTCCGATCTTCCCATCCTGGCTGCCGCTGTCGTTTTAGTTATCAAAAGTAAAACAAAAACGCCAAGATAAACCACAATAACACCTATATATAAAAAAAACTCGAACGCAAAACCTGTCAACGACCACAGAGGTTCAAATGCTTCCAGTGTCGTCTATGTGTTTCACAAAGCCAGATCTCTTGCGTTGATCGACCATTCTTGTACTGTGTCTTGTTTCTTCGCGTAAACATCTTGTCTTGTTCTTATAACAAATATAAGAAAATGAGTTTCTTCAAAACTTAACTTTTCCGCATGGTAGCATCTGTTGAGGCCCAGGACTTTCCTTTTATTGTACCTATTTACTTCTCATGCATCGCATCATAAGCTTTACGATGCTTTTTTGTTAAGAATAAATCATTCTGGCTAGTACAGCATTGTCGCGAGAAAAAGAAATTTTGAGTAGGTATCTAACATTTGACGAAGCATGTTTTTCCCTTTGTTTTTGCTTTTCCGCACGAAAAAGTATAGGTTTAGGTACTCTAACAAATTTCTACAAGGTTGAAAGTTCTCGTTTCAAATTATATCTTAATTGTGTTGGCGTATGTTTAGACATGATGAAAGATTACAATTCAAGGTGAAATGATAACACCTGTAGATCGGTAACGAAGTGTTCGCAGACAACAGTTTATATGAACTTTTAGTCATAAAATAACTTTAAAAAAATTAGCCCCTTCTGTATGTATTTTAGTATTTAGGAACACTCTGTACGTATAAGATATAACCTTCTCAATGCTAAGGTCTCATAGTACCTTTGTTATAGAAAAATTGTTCAGGAAAGTTTGTTTTGCTTTCAGTCTGTTACAAAATTTATTATTGATTGAAAGTATTTGAAAGTACTTCTTATAGTTTCTTTCTTCACTAACCTGTTCACTATCTTCAATAATAAGAAAGTGACTCATGCAATCCCACCCAATCTTGGATAGCCTGTATAAATTTGTTTATGAAAAAAATCCTATTTTGTGTTTATTCTCTATTTACATTCAATTGTCGCTCTAGAGGTTTGGCCGACGATTTAGGCTACGTTCAGACACGGCGATAATCGCGCGAATCTCACGATGATATTTACGTGAAAATGTTCCAAAAAGAATTCAATTCTGAACGCAGCGTTAAGCAGAGTAGCTCTGTCTTATTCTTATCTAATTGTGTTAGCTAATAACTAGTTTTCCCTATTTAGTAGTTTAACAAGCTACCCGGTACATTTTTCCATTTTTTGTAAATATCCTAGCTTAGAGTATACTGTTATAGCTACATAAAATATGCCTAACTAAAGGATAAATCGCAACATTAGTAAAACTTAAAAAAGTAGTTCATCGTCCAATGAATTCATTGAATTAATAAACAATAAAGCTCTTGCGTATAACCGATACTCCACCGACAGATGAATTTTCTCTAGACCTCATTTTTCGTTTTGTGAATGATACTCCCATCCGACCTTCCGTTTTTCGAGATATCCCGACCCTCGTCCCGACCCTACAGTTGATTTTCGGATGTGATTTTACATAAAAATCGATCCACAAATAAGAAATAAGTTAGTTCTGTACAAGTGCAAATCCATTTATAGTAGGTATGTCAACTAGATTCACTTTTACAAGAAGCATCTGTAGTCACAATTTAGTTCCGATACTCAATAAATAAGAAAGTGATTAGGCGATGCTCTTGCGCCGAAACCAAAAACTTATTCGAGCTTTTTCCTTTTTGCTCAAAATTCAAATTATGCGGAAGTGTTTATGTTTGGTAATATGGGGGTCTTAGAGGAGACAGAAAGCAGCAAACTGTGCAATTTTTAATAAATAGTATCATTGTATTTATAAACAATACAATGATAGTATATTGTTTACCATCGCTGACAAGTCGTGGAAATTCCAACATGTCAGCGTAGCTCATTCGTCCGTGGTAAACACTAAATTTTCGTTTATTAGTATGCTGGAATTTGTTGTACATATGTAAACGGCTAGGCAACGCAGGTATAGAAATTAAAAGAGGCAGAGAAGTGGAAAGGAGGCAGAGAAGTAAACTTTCTCTGCCTGTTTTCCGCTTCTCTGCTCCTAGCAACGAAACGATATATACTTCGCTACCTGAATATGATCAGCGAAATGTCACATTTGACGTACAGTATAAAAAACAAAATTTTTGCATTTGGATGTCAAAGATATCAAAATCGTAGTTTTTACGCACGGATTGTATTGGGAAAACTTTGAAACTATTTATTTTGATGTCAAAAAGTAAAGTGAGAATAACTTTACTTACAATTGTCTTGCTTAAATATGGCATAAGTATAATCCCTAGGTTGTGTACGATCGGAAACGTATGCGGACACTCCAAAAAGTTTCGACGATGAAACCCATTAAACAAAAAAACACAGCTATCTACATGCGGTAAGATTGTTGAGGTCTCAAACCCTCAAATGGACGAATTCACGCAGGTATGCTAAAAAAAATTAGTTACCGACAAGTCATTCTTAAATTTAGTAAACTACATGGAAAGTAATTCCATTTGAAGACAAGTACCTATTGGCATAGTACCCAACATACGCAACGCCACTGAAAAATGTTGGCTGATTTTTTTTGTTTTGTAAATTGTAATACGTAACGAGTTCATAGTACTACTAACGTATTTAACGAGAAGTGTGTAGTAAACAAACTGTATCTTATCTACAAAAATTAGTAGAAATAATTATCACCTATACATGTGCTACTAATTAATTTATAAAACTTGTGTGATGTTTTCTATTTGTGACAATGAAACCAGCAGCAATTGATAATTGTGATTTACAAAAAGTACAAAAGGTAATAATATGATATAATTGCTAATCACATTTTATTTGTATCTTCTTTCATAAGCATAACTCTACCCAAATACATAACAATGTAAAATAAATCAAACCATATCTATGCTTGCAACACATCACGGAAGGAAAAATACATATGACAATTGACGTTGACTATAATAGTATAATTGGCATGTTACGCCATTGGCGTACGCGTCATTTCTTTTGCTAAAAGGATTTAAAATGCCACAGTATTGATATAAACTGCTCATCAATTTGGGTATCTTATCTGTACCTAATCGACTGCTATTACATAATTTAACTACTCCTTTTTAGTTTTTTCTGTCTTGCCCAATATCGAAATTCCATTATCCAATCATTTCCATCTGTTAACATATCATTTTTATATTGCACGCATGCAGTCGTCAAAAAAGTACCTTTAAGTAATATACCAAATGTAGGTTATTTAGGCAGCAAGGAGCAAAGTTAAACATTTTGTTTTATTTTGTTTTTTTTATATTCGTCAATCGTCACAATAGTATATAATAGGTAATGAAAATTTCTTTCCTTGTTGACAAGTTTCTGTTCAGGTGTGAGGAGCCTCGGTATCCATCTCGTGAACATTGTTCATCCTTACAAATAATTTAATATCCAACTCTACTGGGTACGTACGCATTTTTGTGCAAAAAAAAATTTTCCGTTTCGGGAATTGGACCCGAGCCTCCTGGATGAAAACAGGGTAAGTTGAGGGGAATAATATCTTCCATGAGCCGTCTAGCTATAAACTTGTATTTAAAAAAAAAATCTCATGTCCAGCGTCCCCGAAGTTACTCCCTGTAGCCCCTCGTGTCATTTCAGGTCCCTGTCAAAGCGGTACTAGAATTGGCATCACGATCGAGCTAGCGCTTTTATGATCGTATGCATCCTGCCCACATTTAATGCCAAACGCACTTCGCTTATCCCCAGACTTACACACGCCCACGTTCTCTATAAAGCGGCACCTATGTAAATTTTCCGAGATCCCCCGCTACAATCAGTAAATCCCAAATAATCCGCAATTGACGTTACAGGCGTGATCCTTCGCGTCATTAATATCCACTGTCACTATGACACTATAGCTTGATACACACTGTAAACATCAAACTTTTAGTTTGTGATCAGTAAATACCCACCGTACAATTAGGGAAAAATGTCCAACATCAACACAATTTTATTCAAGAATTGGTCTGCCTATTGTCGTATTGTGTCGGATTGCTTTAATTCCATACATCATCAGGGAATAAAGGCACACATTCTTTCATCCTTCTAACAGTCATGTATAATTTCAGACTGTTTTGGAATCCCCTACAAGTTTGGGCCACGAAGAAGATAACGATATTTGGAGTCAAACGTACATGCTACCTGGTGAGGATGGAAATACAGCTTTGAAACGGTAAATATGATGTAGTTTAAAAACGACAAAACGACTATATGGCATTGTAGATGGGGACAAAAGCAAGCTTGGTGCAAACCGTCATGCATTCCAATAAGCATTATCTTAGTTCTAATTTTCCTTGTTGTGCTTCTGCCGTTGCTGGACCATGCAATGGAAAGATCAGATGTGCAAGTGACTCCAGTTATTTCTGACTTATTTCCAGATACTTGCAAGTAAGAATTTTGATATGTTCATTGAATTGTTATTAGTATTACCACTGTGCTATATGTAAATGGATCTTTTTTCCTTCTGATTTTCACTCGTATATCTTTTTAAAAAAAAGACTAACAAACTTGTGGTTTAAGTTAAACTAAAAGTAACTTTGTCATATCACCCAAAAATTTATTATGTTTGCATTAATCGCTTACTTTCAGATTATCGCTAGTGGAAAGCATTCCAGAAGGCCTTACATATCCCCGAAATGCAACTTCATTCCCTTCAACATATCACACATGGTTAGAATTAATAAATTCAACGCGCCATACAATAGAAATTGCATCATTTTATTGGACTTTGAGAAGTTCTGAGGTCTATCCACATCCTTCCTCATATCAGGTGACGTCTATCTATTGCTAAAGTCTGATACTTTGATTCCTATTCACTGCTATCACTACTACTTCCAATGGAAAAGTCAAGTTTGAGGCTAATAAAAAGAATCCAAGTGACAGATTTCAAGGAGTTTGATATCAAATGAAAACCTGTTTAATTCTATGTTGTTTAATTGTAACATCAATTCTGAGCGGGAGTAAGTACACGTTTCTTTGTGATCTGTGTTACAATTAACTTTAGAGCCTTTTTAAAAGAAAAAAACCTGATCACATTTTAATATAGCTGTCAACTGAACGTGGCCTCGCCCCACATTCATTTAATATATAATTTAATAATATAATGCAATCTTAACTGCACAGGAATGAGAAAAACGAGCATTTCTCGCTCAGAAGTTGGAAGTGCAATTTATCTCAGCATAGAATTGCTAGGTCTCAAATTCGATTCTGCATGTTTTTGCTCTGACAGTAATAGCCCAAATTATTACAGATTATTTCATTCTTGTCAACACTGTGTATGAACATTACCTACTCACTCATTGTATTTGTTCAAGACATGCATTTACAACCGTCACTTATACAGGTATTGATCCTAAAAAGTTTGAATCACAAAAATTCGTATAAAAAAGTATTGGACGTTTCTTTAACTACTGAAATAATTAAACAGTGTAATTACCATCAGAGGTCTCTAAATTATTACCTTTCTATTGAGTGCTTAATTATATGACACCCACCTACTACTTAATCACAATTTGTATTTGCTGAATAACAGTTTACCATTGCATGGAATAGAAAAAATATTGATTCTTTTTTCCTTATGATTTCTGCTCTGAACTATATTTTATTTAGTAAAACTTTATAAATTACATTTATAAAAAGGAATGATAAAATAAATTACTACTCATGTTTGGGTATTACCGAGGGTATTACTTTTGGTATTACTTTATGTGCAATTTTCATACGCAGGGTGTGCACAACTTATTCAGGATGGGCATGCGCCTCTTGATTGCGTGATTGTAGTTTTCCAAATCTTAATTCCTAGTATTTTAACTGAAAATTATTTTGAATTTACAGGGAGAAGAAGTATTCCAGGCGTTATTAAACACAGGACTAAATAGAGGCATTAAAATAAAAATTGCTCAAAGCGCTCCGAATCGTAATAATCCAAATATTGATACAGAGTACTTGGTAAAACGAAAAGCTGCTGAAGTGAGGAGCGTCAATTTCCCACAGTTGTTAGGATCCGACGGTGTCTTGCATACCAAATTATGGATTATTGATAGAACGCATTTCTACATAGGAAGCGCTAATATGGATTGGCGTTCTTTAACCCAAGTATAAAATATTGTAGGATACACTTTTATTTTTTTAACGTATGATTGTAGGTTAAAGAAATGGGAATAGTCGTACATAATTGTACTAGCCTTGCAGAAGACATTGGAAAGATCTTTGATGTAAGTAACTTCAATTTGTCTTCATTTTTAAATAAATTCTCTGTAGGTGTATTGGATCTTAGGTGAGCCAGGAGCAAAGATACCTAGTTATTGGCCTTCGTATTTAGAAACAAAGTACAGCATTAACACACCTATGAATCTAACTTTAGATAACGACACCTTCCAAACATACATATCAGTAAGCAATGCAACAAGCATTCAACCATGTAAATTTTCATTGTAGAGTTCGCCACCGCCCCTGTCCCCAGGTGGTAGAACTAACGATTTAGAAGCAATTGTGAATATTATACAAAAGGCTGAGAAATTTGTATACATATCTGTCATGGATTATTTTCCTTTAACAATTTATTCGCCAAAAATTAAATATTGGGCCTCCCTAGACAATGCTTTAAGGTCTGCTATTATAGATAAAATCGAAGTGCGATTGTTAATTAGTAAATGGAATAATACAAGAAGGTCTGAGCACTATTTTCTAAAATCACTAGCCGATATCGCGGACTCCTACCCAAAAGCAAAAGTTGAAGTGGTAAGTGCACATCTTCTCATATCCACTGCTCGATATGTGTATTTCAGAGATACTTCGTAGTACCTGCAACACCATCACAAGCAAAAATACCGTTTGCACGCGTAAATCACAACAAATATATGGTTACAGATAACACGGCATATATAGGCACTTCTAACTGGTCTGGAGATTATTTCATTGATACTGCTGGCATTGGTTTTGTTGTCCATGACCCTATTTTTAACAGGAATGATTCCCATATTACAGTACGTAGTCAACTTCAAGCTGTATTCGAACGAGATTGGAATTCTAATTATTCCTACCCAATATCATACTTTAGATTCTAAAAATGGTTAATAGTTTATTTGTACATATTTTATATTATCAAAACCAAAAGATATTTTCGATACTGTATGATTTTCCCATAATGATATTTGAGAGAAATAAAAATTTTTATTGTTATATTCTTATTTGGGAAGCAAAAGAATTTACCTACTTCTTTGAGAGGTAAAAATATGAGAAAGGATACAGGACAGCTCAAAGATACAAAAGATACGTTAGGCAAGGGAGGGTGTCATCAAGCTGTTGCTATTATGATTTATGAGAGACCATCAGCAGCTTCTTTCTTGGTGCCACTGACTAGTAACCTAAATTGAGATGGAAAATTTCACTGGCATCCTGCAAGTAAAGATTTGTCCGCCCTTGTAAGGAACACCTTATCCCAAGAGCTGATTTTGTATGCGCCTTTTAATTCTGAACAACTTTAAACTACAGTTTTTTCTGTAAAATGTACAGGAGGGCAGGGTATTCCTACTTACCGTGCACCACTCGGTATATGTCCACTGTGCAATTTGAAACGAATCAGTCCAAGCGTTTGACGGACACCATCGATTCCCCTATACAGCTTGCATCGCTTTGCTCAGCTGCTTAATAAACCCGACCCGACTATACATCTCAGTTGTAGAGCATTGGGCTACATAGCTGGAAGGTCGGGTGTTCGAACCTGGGCTGAGGTAAGAATTTTTTATCTGTGGCAGAGATGGAATTTCCTTAGATCAGTTTCCAGCATTTAAGACACTCTGGTTTATTTAAAAAAAGTTTGTTTTGGTTAGTTGGATTTGTCTGTGCCTCGAGCAGCACAATAACTATTAAATAAATAAATAATAAGTATATTTAACTACTTGATTATTACCTAAACTTTCATTGTCCAATTTGAGATGCTTGTTTTTTTTTGGTAGGGCTTCGACTTTCGACACCCATATTCATAACAGAATTTCAATATACCTAATATAAGAATTATTCAAATGTTCAGGAGTCATGAAAATATCACATTTGGCAAAATAAGATGCGGCAGCAAACAAAATCAATAAATACATTTCGCCCCCACATAAAACATACAAAAACCTCCAATTCATGGTACTATTATTATTATTATTATCCCTCTCTTGTTTTGGGCCCTCAACAGGCATGCGCCCAATTACAGAGTGACCCGCATATTGCTATTTAGAGGTGCCTCTGCAGAAGGTCTTAAGTTGGTCTATACTACTCCAGTATTTACCTTACGAATTAGGAAAACTGCAGGAAAACCTAATTCGGAGTAGCCGGTAGAATGCTCGGAACTGGTCTAAGGTAATTTCCATCTCCGCCACAGATGAAAAATTCACCTCAACCCAGGTTCGAACACCCGACCTCCGGATTTATAACCCAATGCTCTACATTACAAACATTGTAACAGCCTTTTGAAAATACCTTTACCAAAGAAGCAATAAAATCCATTTAGGAACTCCTGAAGATATGTTAAACATAAGCTGAGCTAAATGGAAATTGCCAACAACATTAATGAAATTGCACGACTTGCAATATTCCTAACGTAAACAAATTCTATTAAATATACAGGCAAGCAATACTAAAGCCACTAGATAATATATAGAAGCAATACAAAACAAAAACAACCACGCTAAATACATTCTATGCTAGTTACAGTAATATACAAACTAGAAAATAAAGGATACATGATTTACCTATATTTTGGGAATCAAACACGTACACTCTGCATACGCATACCACAATTACTCTGCTCCACAAATACATCGCTAACTCTGTAAATCACGACCTGCGCCCGCCCGCCAATTTTCGTGCTTAGGCCATTTGAATAGAATTGGGAGGTGTGACATATTGTAGTTGGTGATTGATTAATTTTAACCAAAATTGAGAGATTTTGTTATTAAAAGCGACCAAAAAAATTTGAGCGCAAAATATTGATATTTACGTCCACTTTAAAATCAAGGGTTGGCGGGAATGAAGAAAACGTACCTGTGCGCGAGACTAGACTGCATGACGTCAGTAGCCAGAAACATTTGCCGCCGCGACGTTGGCAGAGTATACGAATTCACGTAAACATGGGACGAATTTATTTCTTGTGTGCAGATCAGTTTTGACTCCACCATCAATAAGATCTTGTCGGTCGGGGCCTACCATATTCCCTTTGTCGGTACCCAGCACTTGGGCCACTTAATTCCGATGTCCTGTTCATCCGTAATTCGCATTTGGGTGGATTCACTAAAAACCCTCCACAAAATAGTACCTACTCAATTATTGGATCCTTTTTCGATGACTCAAGACACGAGAAAGAGCTCGAAAAAGAGAGACCGCGATTGGAACTTTAAAAAACTTTTGGGCGCCAGAAGTCCTCTACCCCTTAAGACGCACGCCTTGCAAAAGGTGATTTAAATCGAACCAAAACTGTAGAAGAAGACAGAAAAAAAACCTGAAAAATCACCACGTTAGTAAAACCAAAAAGTAACCATAACTCTTGGGTAAAACCACGCTCAGAGATGGAGCCCTAAAGGTTGTTCGTTACACGGTCCAGGTAGGTGTACATACATGTACGTATAAGTAGGTACATTCTTCGTTCTACAAGCGTTTTTTTACGCACCCTCATTTGCTGCCAGCCAGCCAGTCTGTAAAATTGAGATTAAAGCTAGGTATGTACCTATATTTAACCTATTCACAAATAAATTTGCTAAACTGCGGTGGGTAGGTAATAAATTTGATATTTCATTCAAATATTTATGATTCCCAAAAATTAAAATAATCTTAAGTTATGGAAAAAAGCTAAGAGTAAGAGGTGGGTCCCAAGATTGCAAATTTTTGTTAGATATGGGTCGGGGCCCAATCTCAATGGGGCCCCAAGTCTTACTTTGGGAACCACTGCCCTAGAGCGATGATCGAGAATTCTTTACAATTTCTCCACTCCATGAATACCGATTTGAATGATACGGCATCCTTATCGCCGGTGATTAGGTAATCCTTTACCGTCTCGATGTCGTTCTAGAAAATTCGCTACATAATCTTGGCTGCTAATAGTTAATTATGTTGACGACAGATTTTTTAACCATATGACAAATGCGCTCTCCTAAAATTGGCGCATGCGACCTAAACAAAAAGTTCAATTCGACACTTGACAGTAAATAAACAAAGTAGAATGCAAAAGTCAATAATCTTTACTTTACGTAATTTAATTAAATATAATGTGGAGTAGCTCATAACAATAAATTAGCGAACATGAATCAAAATCATTCCAAAGATAGTACGAATCTACATTTAGATTTTAGCGTTAAACTAATGTTTCTTTTTTCTAGTACGATCCTTTAATTACAATCCAGTAGGCCGAGCGCATTCCACGCTTAGTGTCTCTGCCATAGACTGTTATATGAACTTACCTGTAAATAGAACACCATCACCCGCATTATCTACTGTTACGCTAACCCCCGGTCGCATACGAAATATAGATCAAGACATGGAAGCATTAAGGGCATCGCGGCAAGACAATCCATTCCTACAGGTTTGCACCCTTGTACAATGTATCGATTCATATAATGCGGTTTTTCAGCATGTAATAGCCAGTCGAGAAAGTCTCGCCGATTCTTTGGATGATAGTGAATCTGATCATACAAATTTAATGTCCCACGTAAGTACATAGATTTCTCGGTGAGATTTCGGAAATAAGAAGTGGGATGTAATTGTCAATTTGTCGTCTGACTCTGCTGCCAAGGCAGAAGTATGGTCGATTCATTTCTAACACTTATGTTTAGACTATTTCCAGAGCTTTCTAGGTTCTCCCAAAGTGTTTTATATTTATTTTAAATCTTTCAAGTCTTCTCCGGGGCTGTGTGTGCATAGAAGGCTTTGGAAAGGCACTAGAAAGGTTTTACAAGAATTCAAGTTCCATTTTCAGTTAGTAACTTCTTCATATGATTTGGAGGAAACATTTAAAAGACTGGAAATCATTTGAACGATATATAGAACAGTGCACCGTAAGACTTGGAACTAGAGTAAAAAGCAAAGAATTTATTCGCCACAATGACAATTTTTTTCAGTTTCGGTTTGCCTGGAAATTACTCTAAAAAATTTTAATAACAACATACCCTGTATATATTAATTATTTTGGGATACACAATTTAAGAAACATGTTCGCAAATAATAGCAGAAATATATTCAACAATTTAGGATTATTTCCGGCCAAACCGGAAAAAAAATTTTTTACTCTAGAGCACTCCATATGTCCCGGAACGATCAAATATCTCTGTTATCTATGTTAATTGTTTTCACTTCCGGTTTGGTCGGAAATACCCCTAAAAATGCATTTAGGGAAAAGAGTAAAACATTAGTTTTACTTCCATTGTATTTCAAGAGTGTAGAAATATTGGAGGTATAGAAACCGAACTGCAACCGCATTCCTTATCTAAATACTATTTAATTGACGCATTTAATTATTTAAAACTTATCGTTAACATGTACCTTTGCCATTAGTTACTCTGTTGTAAAAGTGTGGTCTATTAATCTTAATCTAGCTTGCCTTCACTTTCATTTATATAATTCAGCTTGGTATCTTCCATAACTGCTTTACATTTTTCTGGCACTAATTGGTGATGGATGCTTATAGGAATTTCCAACGGATATAGATTTAGATCCATTTACCCTACCGGAAATGCATGAACACATGATTCGTAGTCCACCACCGACTACATGGCCCAAATCTCCCAATTTTAAAGTTTTTCAATTTCCAAATGGAGAAGAAGAGACTTTGCATGTCGAAGTAAACGTATGTATGAAATAGCTTTAAATATAGTGTCAAATTTTGCTCAGGGTATACAGAGTGTCCGACAATAAATGCTGGCTGTCTATATCTCAAAAAGGAGACTTTGGAAAGTTGTGAAAATTTTATAAGTACTAATAATGTCAACAAGAACAAAATATTTTCAAGTTTGTGGCAGTGTTTCTGTTAAACCGGAAATTTAATTATTTTAAACGAAACACCCTATATATTTTTTCCTTTTTTAGATTCTATGCAAAATTCTATAAATATGTCACCTATAATGTTTTATACCTAAATTTAGCTATTTTTGACATTTTTTTAAACATCAAAAATGACGTTTGCACCCCATAGGGGATTTCCCTTTAAAAAATCGTTTTACGATTTTTTCTAATAAATTTTTTATCTTTGTTTTTAAACCCCTGCATTTATAATCAAAGTACCAACTTGAAAAATTAGTAAGTAGTGGTAATATACTACTAAAATATTCCAAGATCTTTTCTAGATAATGACAGCTGGCATTCCTACTGAAACCCCTGGATTCTTCATTCAATATTAAGAAAACAATAGAACATAATTATATGGGATACTAATGATATTATAAGTTATGGTCTAATGTTGTCTTGCATTAATGAATGTACCTACCGTACACTATCAATTAGAAAAAAATGGTAACTCAGACGTATTGTTATAGTTTATTAATACCACTCTTTATTCTAGACCAAGCTAAAATCTCCCAAATCGGAAATAAAACCGAAGCACATCAGTTGGGACGGTACAGAATGTACCTCTCCTCTGAAAGTATTACCAAGACCACATGCATTGCATCACGATAGGTTTTCTTTATTAACTGCAAGTGCTTTACGTTCAAGTGGTGAAGATAGTGTAAGGCTTATGTCTTCTGAAGACTAAGAGCTTATATTCAATTATAGATAAATAAAGGCTGTGGAAAACATTCCACTTGTAGATCCTATACATTTCTGTATTATTGTGATAGGTGTTTTCTAGTCAAATTTTATCTTGTTGTTATTGCATGTTTTGTTTTCTACAGATGGTATTGTAAACTACTGTGTGGTGAATGTTAAATGTAGCACGCACAAATAATTATATAAAGTGGGATATTGGCAAAATTGGAATTGTCATTGTTTCTTCGTACATATAACTGTATCAAATCATGTCGAAAGTACATTGTATTTTAGTTGTTAAAGAGATATTTAAAAAAAGTACAATAGCAATTATTGCTTAAAGTAATAAAGATTGCTAAGCGGTATTCTAACTGGGAACTGAAAGTTTCCTAATATATTATTGTAGATAAAGTTATGGTATCTAGTCACAGAAAAATGTTTTCCAGTCATTTTTATCACTTCTTAGTTATGACTTCTACTAATTTAGGTTTCTCAAGTAATTCTTATAGCAAAAAAGGGAAGCTAGAGGTGATGTGAAGTTATTTTAACGCATTGTTATTATGCAGATGAGATGCCTATTTGGAACAATTACAATTATGAATGATTAATCAAAAACTATCTGGAATTACTTGCTATACCTACTTACTTTCACCATTGAATAAAAACACTATAAGAAGCCTAACCCCGTGGAAATAAAGCGCGACAGAGATTGAACTGAGAATATAATGGAAACACTGTCAATAGTGTCGATTCTTGAACTGAGAAGAATGAGAATTTGCTTTCCTCCTATTTACCGCAAAGAGAGTTCGGTGATCACAACCAATGCGGGTGCAAGGGGATTTGTCGCGCTTTCTTCCATAAGCGTTAGGCTTCTTATAGTGTTTTTATTCAATGCTTTTACTTAAATTTTAGTTGTGGTTGTGATTCACTCTTTTTCCTACATTTAAAAACATTTAACTGTTTGTAAATAAATATAATTTATGGTTGTGGTTCGTTGTAGTAGTCCATAGTACACAGCTTCAATCTAATATTTCATTGTATCTAATAATTTAGCTGAAATGCTTCCATGTAAATAACTGGGATTTAGGTGTATTTTTATTCAAAAGGGAGTAGGTACTTATAACATTCATTAAATGTGTTTTGTTGTTATATGCTTACTTAAAATGTCTATTTTTTATTAAAATTCATTACTTTTATGTGATATGTATAATATAAACTTTAGTAATTGGAAATGTATAGGTTGGTTCGTTATCAATGAATGTGCGCCTGTGTCATAAATCCCCCTGATTTGTTTTGTCACGAAATATAGTTGAAATTGAAGTACCTATTGCTAAAATTGCTCTCCTGTATAATATTATGTTTAAATTAAGGCTGGTCCTTTTTACAATTTATCACACACAAAAATTGATAGAAGTTTATTTACAAGAAGCAAATTATGACTGTAACCTGTCCTTGACGTAATTTGCATGAGCGTCAAGTGCGATCAGTATAGGATTAGAATTGCTTTACTTATTGCATCAGGGAGCCTGTTAAAACTTGTGTGTCATTATTAATTACCACTGATTGTAACGTTTGATGTTCCTATTATTTCACAATCTATTGTTAGCCAAAGTCTTTATGCTAGTAATCTTCAAATATAAATACCGTCTATCAACTCATTTCATTATGCCGTTTCTGTGTGTTGCGTGGTATTATCATTTTTACATTTTACATATGCCCCCTTTAATTAAATGTGGCAAAGTTATTTATTAGTCAACTTAAGTTAGCTAAGGATATTGTTACAAAAAATTATTTTATGAACAAATACATTGTTAAATTTTGTTGTGTTTTTTATTGTTGGTCCCAGATATACTTTCTCTTTAAAATAGGAGATAACAAATTATTCTATACATTTTCATTCGTTTCATTCAACATACATTTTTAGTTTCCTAGCTTGAAGCTAGGTGGGTACCAAGTCTGTGGTGGGTAAAGTCACTAAATATAGAAAGTACCGCAATCCATTGGGCTCGTGTGTTAGAGAGAGAACGCATGATTTTTGCCCAAAAATGGCGGAAGTTACCAGATTCTAGTAACTTTAATGTTAGGGATTGTTCCACCTGTTTGGAGATATCTGTATACAGGGTGTTACACGACCGTTCGAAAAAAAAAAAATCGGGTTGTAGAGGGCATCAAAACAAGCACTTTTTCCAAATAAACCGAGGGTCCAACGTGTTTCGTTTGGGAGCGACCCCCCAAAGAGTGTTGAAATCTGCATTTCTTCTTTAATTTTTTTCTCAGCAACCATAAGAGTTACAAAGTCGGGTGGCATGTCTTTGAATAGGTTTTTGGGTATGCTCTTTCCGATTTTGCAATTTTTTTTTCAAAATTCCTACCCCTAAATGGCGCACCCCTAAACTAGGGTGCAAAAAAAAATTCTGATTTCGACGAAATTTGGTATCTGGGGGGTTTTTAACATGAAAATCACGAATCTGAAATTAGTTTTTGAAAATTCGAAAAAAAAGTTCCACTGCAATTCTTGGCGGGACAACGAAAATAGAGATAATTCCACGAAATTTGTTGTGTACATACTAAACGAGTTAAGGAACAAAACAGTTTTTTAAAATAACTTTTCAAACAAAAGTTATACTCATTTGAATGTTGGTCCTTCGGGTCGCGAAGTGTCCCAAGCCTACTAGTAAGCCAGGAGCGTGTTCTTTTGGAAGTTATTTTTCAACCTAAGATTATGAAAATTTTTTATCATAGTGAAAAAGTATCATACGGAAAGTGATTTGACTTTTTCCCCTACCTTATTTAGATAATAAATAATCGATCAGCGCTTTAAGATACCTTGGTAGGTGTTTTAATCGATACATCGAATTTTTTAATCATTTAATGACCGAATTAATTCCAAATAACAAAATATCGACTCAAACCGTTAATCTTTTGTTTTTGCGACATTGTCAACCAACACATGCGAAATTATGGCTTACTAGTAGGCTAGGCTAGAAATGCAGATTTCAACACTCTTTGGGGGGTGGCTCCCAAACGAAACACGTTGGACCCTCGGTTTATTTGGAAAAAGTGCTTGTTTTGATGCCCTCTACAACCCGATTTTTTTTTTCGAACGGTCGTGTAACACCCTGTATATTTTTATCAAACATGACAGTACTATGAAGTTAGGTTATAAAAATGACAGCTATTCAGATTTTATTTGTCAATTTTTTTAAGTTGGCAGCAAATTTGCCCAAAAATGGCGGATGATTGCGGTACTCTCTATATCTAGTGACTTTAGTGGTGGGTATCAATTATTGCAATCACCGTTGTTTGGACATATCAAGATTTCATCAAATGTTGACGTTTTAGAAAGTATAAAATTTTTTTCCCGTCTGTATGTAAGTACCTGATGTACGTTCGCAATTACGTTGTTAATTACACGATCCCGGTATGGACATGTACACTCCTCGCATGATCTGCGACACCTTTATGTAGTACCTAATGGATAAAATTCTGCTTAAGACGCATTCATTCCTGCCGGTTGGTGGCCTGGCCTGGCGCATGGCAATAGGGAAGTGAAGGAGCTTAGGAATGGTCAGATGATCCCCCCCCCCCCATTTGATCGTGTTTTACAATGCAGACAGAATTTTTGATTACTGAATTAATTAACCTTTACATGATGTATCACAGATCTTATTCTGCAATTATTTAATTTTTTAGGGGACACATTTTAGTTGATAGACCCTGTATAAATTAAAATGAGAATAACTGGAGCTTTATACAACCCTTACGGAAACTGACCTTTGATTTTTTAGTATGGAGACAAAGATTATAGTGTGTGTGTTTATTCAATTGACATTAGGTGATAACGTTATTCATATTGACACAGATAAAATACCCTATCTATGATATTGATCACAGATAAAATACCCGATTTATCTGTGGTATTGATTATGATACAATTTTTCTTTCTTCATGTTGGTATGGGCAAAATTATTTTTAATGGCCTCACTGATCGTGGTGATAACTAGAAGAAAAGCAGAAAACCAAAATAAAATAAAAATCCTGTTAACTTTCATAGTTTATTTTACATTTAAGTATTGCTACTTTCCTATGCATGAGCTAAAAAAGACAAATTGTCAGTGTCAACGAGATCACAGCTTTTTGGTTTATGTACATATTTACTGTTATTTAAACTTATCAAACATATAGGTAAAGTGTCTTAATAAATAACTTCATATACAGTAGCCTTTTTGTCTCCAGAGCCTGTGACAATGTACTTGTCGTCGGCGGAAATATCGCAACTTAAAACACTTGAAGATTCTTTAGACTGGAATAAAAAAATATTAATGATGAGAGTTTAAACGTAATAGCTCAACATACCTGGAATATACTTGCACCATATGGTGTCCTCCATGCATTTAATAAGTTGTCCTTACCAGTTGACACAAACCATTTACCGCAGGCGGCGAATCTTAAACTAAGCACACAACTTTCGTGTAAATGTAACTGATATTTGTCGGGTTTAGCTGCATGTAACACTTCAACGTTTGAATTCTCCATACCGACTGCCAGCCATTCTCCAGTTGGGCAGAATCCCAAAGAAAAGATTTGAGAACTGAAATCGTGCTGCTGTAATTGCCTCCCCTCTCGTAGATCCCAACTTCTGACTGTGTTGTCCAATCCGCCAGTCCACAACTTAGTACCTTCCGCGGATATATCAATACACGATGCGCCATCTGTATGTCCTTGAAACTGACGCACCAATGTTTGATTATGCAAATCCCATACTGCGATATTTCCATCTGAACAACAACTAAAGCATACTTTCGAGTCGGGACTTATAGCTAACGCGTAACAAGCTGGCGCACTAGATGTTAATTCAGCTTTAATTCGCGGCGTCGGACTAGCTAAATCCCATATTGAGAGATTACTGGCTTCGCCTCCAACAATTAAAGTTCTTCCATCTGGCAATAATTTTACGGATCGAATATAATTGTCTCTTTGCTATAATAAAGATGGTTAAAATTGGTGGAAGATTGGATTTAAGGCACCTTACCAAACAATCTAACTGAGAAACTGGGCTTTTCGAACCCGGCTGACTAATATCCCAAACTTTTACACACCCCTTTCCTCCAGTATATACGTACTTCGTTGGATTCGAGATTGTTACTGCACATACAACTTCGCCATGACTCAAAGTGTTAATTTGCCTCGCATGGCGTGGAATTCCTGGCCCTATTAACGCGTCTGGTGGAAATGGTACAGGTTGCATTTGCCCATCCGCGCTTACGTGAAATGAGTACGCACTAAGATGGTAAAGTAATTAGGACTGATTATGTCTTGTTGGGATAGTACTTACGGTTTGCCTCCAGGGATGCCTCCAAGACCAGGAACAACAGGAGCCCTCATTTGAGAATGAGGATCATAGCCAACTTGCAGTGGAGGTCTTGGATAATTGTTTAAAGCTGGTGGGAGATTGTTATGAAGAGGACCATATCCACCGGCTGCAGCGGCCGCCGCCGCAGCTGCCGCCTGCAGATCGTGAGGTCCACCTACAAAAGATGCATTAGTACCATTACTTTGAAATGGTGGAAGTATACCATTCGACATAGCTAAATATGGGGGGTATTGCCCTAAGGTTGGCGGTTTGACAACTGGTTTTAGTCCGCTACCACTTGCCGAAGAACCAGAGGGAACTGATGTTGGGGTTATCGATTTGGAAATTGGAGTGCTTGGTTTGTCGCTGTCCAGTTTTTTTGTTGAGGGAGTTGATGCGTTACTTGATGTTCCTGACCGTGGACTGTGAGGGCCTGGATGTTCCTTTTTTGCTGACAGTTTGTCAATACCGTTCTCACGCGGTGAAGCCGTTCCATTTGGAGGTGACACGGGATCTTCAGAAGCGTCGTCAACAACTAAGTCTTGATCACTTTTCTCACCGTCACTATGCTGTAAAGCAAAAATAATTCAAATTGTTGTCATAGATAGTAACTTAAAATACTTACATGGCCCATGTCCTTTTCTTCCTTTTTTACTTTTTTATGGTCAGGTTCGGGAGACGTTCTGGATCTATACTTTTCTCTTTCGGCAGGTGATATGGAATTTCTCTGCAAAAGAAGTATTTTTAAATAAGCATCATAACAAATATAGGGATAGCCGAATTCCAGTAGTTGCAGTAACAAACTTATATACCTAGTTAACCCTCCACCGCGAGCGTATTTTCACATCGGTACTTTTGCGCGTAGCGGCATTTGCAGCGCTCATTGGTGATTTGATTTTTTTAACCATCACTGTTGATAAAAGGCAGTCGAATCGAAATGCTGCCGACGCGTGCAGTGGTGGGTTTATAGTTCGTAATACAATTCATCTCAATTCTTTTCATTTAGTCTCGCATTATTTTCATTCCTTAATTTATTTCTTAGTTCTAACCCTTACATTTATACAGCGTGTTTCAAAATGAATAGAGGGGTTTTAACATGCTATACTAATATTTAATACATCAAACTTGCTCACAATTGTTAGGTATATCAAATGAAAGAGAAACTCAAACAGTTTTACATAATAGCCTACAAGTGTTTAATGTGAGCACCATTCGTCACTTGGCATACGTCAAGACGGTATTGTAACGGAAATGCTCCAGACGTGACGTCGCCTTTAGCGCTCTGGAATTTTCTACGCGTATTCTAGAATATTCGGAACTTACATTGCTTGCGTGTATAAATGGTTGCAGACCGAACATCGCGGGAGTCTACTATCGAACGAGATCGAGCACGGAAATATAAATTGCGAAGTGTGTGTGATATAATAATCGATATAAATTGTACGGTTTTTATAGTGTTTTAGTTTTGTTTAATAAATATTGATATAAATCGAACCCGAATTTATAAATAACGTTACATTGGTGACAGCGGTGGGATTAATTAAATTAATTAAAAGTAAGTTTAAATTAAGTGCTTGTGCTTGTGTATGCCTGTAACAAGATCTGCTGCCGCTAAAATGGAAGAAACGATGCTCAATTTGCTCCAGCAAATCCAAAATGGCCAACAGGTGTTGCAACAAGAAATGAAAAGCAACCAAGAGAAGTTGGAAGAAAATTCTAGAAATTTTGAAGAAAATTCTAGAAATATTCAAGAGAAGTTCGAGAAAATGGAAGAAAATTCTAGAAAGATTAATGAAGAAAATTCTAGAAATATTCAAGAAAAGTTCGAAGAAAATTCTAGACATTTTGAAGAGAAGTTCGAGAAAATGGAAGAAAATTCTAGAAATATTCAAGAGAAATTCGAGAAGATGGAGGAAAATTCTAGAAAGATTATCGAAGAAGTTGAAGAAAAAGTTGAAGATAGAATTACGGAAGTTTCCAAAACATTTAAAGCAACATTCGTTGAGATTGAGCACAAGTATGAAGAGCTGCGCGAGCAATTCTTGCGACTGATTACGAAAGAGCGTACTAGTAGTGCTCCAAAAACAAATACTAGAGTAGAAGGCGACGTTCAGCAAGCCCGAGTAAAGCCACCTACTTTTGATGGTAAGATTCCTTGGACCACGTACGTTCGACAGTTTGAAGCGGCGGCTGCGGCAAATAAATGGACTCTTCAAGACAAAACTACAGCCCTGATTCTTGCTCTGAGAGGAGATGCTCTGGATGTGTTGCGGACCATCCCCGAGGATCAACAGAACTTCCAACAAATAGTAGCGCGACTTGAAATGCGATATGGCGATAAACACCTTCAGCAAGTTTACTATGCCCAAGTCAAGAACCGAATGCAGAAACCTGGAGAAAGTTTGCAGGAACTTGAAGCGGACATCGCTAGACTGATTCGAATGGCATACCCTACGGCACCGGAGAGCTTTCTTGATCAACTGGCTGTACAAACATTTATCGATGCCGTTCGTGATGGAGATGCCCAGCAGGCTTTGAGACTGGCTAGGCACGACAAAATTGAGAAAGCTTTGGCCCATGCGTTAGAATTCGAAGCCGCCAAGAAAGTTAGTCATGGAAGTGCGCGAGTACGTATGGTGGAACCTCGCAGTGAGAGCCGGGTAAGAACCATCGAAGAGGAAGGTGGCTCTGAAAGTTTTGAAGAAAAGGTCAGTAAAGTAGTGGAAGAGAAGATCAATAAAGGCCGATTCTCACTTTCGTGCAAAGAACCGGCACGGCACATACTCGGCACGGGCAAAGTTTTTTGAGTTCAATTCACACTGCGACACGCTTGCCGCAGGTAAGCAGTTTCTACGTGAGTTTCAACTGTAAAAATGTTCGAAACTTTCACGTTAATTAAAATTGGTCTAATATTAGATGATGAAGAACAAGAAAGTACATATTGCAGAAAAAGAAAAATACGTTTTTGTGTACATAAAATGCATAAGAAGTATCTTTTATGACCGAAATCATTTTCTTGGACACATTCAATCAGCATCTCATCTTGTTCCGCTGAAAAAGTGTTCCTTTGCTGACCCTTCAACCTTTCTTGTATTATGAAAAATGAACGAAAGTCGGCCACCTGCACAGATTGTATTCACACTTGTCGGAACGTGCACGGTACATGCCCGGCAAATATTGTTTCGGAAGAACGCTGCGTGCAAAGGCCGTAGCTTGCCGAGTCGTTGCTCGCATAGTGTGAATTACACCCCAAAAAATTCATAAGATTCAATAATATAGATATTTTGCCGAGTCGGTGCCTTGCCTGTGCCGAGTACGTGCCTTGCACGAAAGTGAGAATCGACCTTAAAGCAATACAGTCACTGGCAAAGAAACGTGAATTGCAGCGAGATTGGACACGTTCGCCGCAACTGCCAAAAACCATTGCAGCAGTCGGAAAACTAAGAAAGGTCGACAGGAAGGGGCTATCGTCGACCTGCAGAAACAAAACCCCGATCTTCACTGTAAACATTTCGTCGTCTGGAAAAGTTCACAATAATGCAGACGCTTTGTCAAGAAGACCGTGCAAGGACAACTGCACACATTGTTCTAAAATAGAAGACAAGATTGGCCATCTGCGACGAACAACTGTAGAGAGTGAGGAATGGAAGCCAAGCGAAATCAAAACGGCCCAAGAAAACGACCCAAGTATAAAAACTGTTCTGAATTGGATGCGCCACGGACAAAGACCAGGCTGGCAGGACATTAGTGCCACAAGTCCTGAAGTAAAGAGTTATTGGGGCCAATGGAATAGCCTGACTCTGAAAGACAACCTGTTGTATAGGACCCTTGAAAGTGAAGATGGCACCGAATCGACGCTGCAATTAGTAGTACCTAGAAGCAAAGTGTCGGAAGTATTGCGAAAATTGCATGACGGCGCTTCCGGAGGACACTTTGGTATTACGAAAACGTTGCAAAGGGTACGTGAGCGATTCTATTGGTCAACCGTAAAGAAGATGTCCGGCGATGGTGTCAAAAATGTGAGTTATGTGCTACTGGAAACGGACCAGTTTCCAAGAAGAAGGCACCCATGAGGCAGTATAACGTTGGTAGTCCGATGGAACGAGTTGCTATCGATATCGCAGGACCGTTTCCCGAGACAGATGGCGGAAATAAATATATCCTTGTCGCTATGGATTATTTCACAAAGTGGACTGAAGCTTACGCCATTCCAAACCAAGAGGCAGCAACAGTTGCAGAAGTGTTGGTAAAGGAGTTCTTTACACGTTTTGGTGTTCCTATAGAAATCCATTCAGATCAAGGAAGGAACTTTGAATCGGCTTTGTTCCAAGATGTTTGTCGATTGGTAGGAGCCAATAAAACAAGAACAACACCTTTGCATCCTCAGTCAGATGGAATGGTTGAGAGAATGAATCGAACGATGGGTAAATATCTTTCAAAAGTCGTGGCAGAACATCAGAAAAATTGGGACCAGTACCTCCACCTGTTCCTTATAGCATATCGATCAGCCGTCAACGAGACCACGGGTCAGACTCCTGCCTGCCTTATGTTGGGTCGTGAACTACGCCTTCCATGTGACCTCGAGTTTGGGCGTAAACCCATGAAGAATATGTCGCAGGTGAAAATTATGTTGACCAACTAAAGGCGAAGATGAATGACATTCACGACTTGGCTAGAAGTCATATTCAGATTGCCAGCGATCGCATGAAAAATCAATACAACCTCCGCTCGGTCAATGAAACTTTTGAAGCTGGAGATCTGGTATGGCTGCACAATCCACAGAGACGAAGGGGTCTTTCTCCCAAGCTACAAAGACAATGGGAAGGTCCATATGAGGTGATCAAGAAAATAAATGACGTGATATATCGTATCAGAATGAACCACCGGAAACCGAAAGTTGTCCACATTAATCGACTCGCACGATATGCCGGATTCAACAACAACGAAGAAGTTAGAGGTATTCGAGAAGAGGAACGCAGCTTTGGGATCGAGCCAAACTTTAACGATTTTATGTCAAATTACGCCCAGCGGAAGAAAGCTCGATTTGGCGTTACTCAGGAAATTTGTCAAAATATTTTTGAGCTTCCGGTTAACGTTTCCATCGCCCATTGTGTCGCCGAAGACCTTCGCATGGGTAGAGGTATGGCTTCCGTATTCCGGAAAAGATTTGGAAGAATAGACGAGTTGATAAAGCAAAGACCACGAGTGGGTAAAGTACTGCGCTTGGAAGATAGTCAACGCTCTTTGTTCTACTTGGTTTCAAAGAAAACGTCAGAAGGCAAACCCACCTATGAAAACCTCTGGTCTGCTTTAAAAAACTTGAAGAAACTCATGGCATACTATGACATAAATAGCTTGGCGATGCCGAAGATTGGATGTGGTTTAGATGGGTTGGACTGGAAGATAGTGCGAACCATGATCGAAGTGATTTTTAGAAACACTAGCGTTCGAATTACAGTATGCTGCTTCAACCCACAGGGGACGACCCTCCGCAAAACTGTGGACTGTTACTTTTTTAAGAAAGGTGTTTGTCGAGCAGGCTCTGACTGCAGATTCCGACACGAGGCATTAAAAAGTAATACTAACGCAGTTTCTGAACGAGACGTCCAGAATTAAGAAGGGGGCAGTGTAACGGAAATGCTCCAGACGTGACGTCGCCTTTAGCGCTCTGGAATTTTCTACGCGTATTCTAGAATATTCGGGACTTACATTGCTTGCGTGTATAAA